GCAGGCAGCCTGGGAGGCGGTGGGGGGAAAATAGTGGGTTGGGGGTGGGAGCGGGGGTGGGGGGGAATAAAAGCGGGGTCCAAGTGCTGCTCTCCCCTGGAAGAATTGAAGAATTGGGGTGCTTTTTGGTTTAGGAAAGGGTCCCTTATTTTTTCCCTCCCTAGTCGTTTACAAAGACCCTGAGGATGAAAATTTCAACATAATTTTTTTCCTTATTTTTTCCCTCCCTAGTCGTTTACAAAGACCCTGAGGATGAAAATTTCAACATAATTTTTTTTTTTTACATTTGGATTTTTTAAAATTTAATCCTTTTATTGGGGGCTCGTACAACGCTTATCACAAACCATCCATCCATCCATTGTGTCAAGCACATGTGTACGTTTGTTGCCATCGTCATTCTCCAAATGTGTTTGTGTTGCTTCCGATGCTATTCATATTCAATGACAAGTGCAATCATAAATATTTGGGAGAAAGAAACAAGACGGAGTCCCAGGAAAAATGCAGCCCCTAAAATAGCTTTCCCAACCTCAGACTAGTCTTCCTGAGCCGAAGGCTGGGAGTAAGACCGCCCTCCTCCGCTTTGGCAAGCGGCACACCTGCCCCCTGTGAGGCAATGACCCTGGAGGGCTGTGGGCAGGGCAGGACGTGGTTCCCAGTACCCACAAACAAGCCTGAATGCACCCTGCCCCCTCTCCTCCCCCACCCTGGCCGTCAGATGTGTCCTGTGAGGGCCTGCAGGCTGCTGGGATGCTGGAAACCCTGGTATCTTCCCCGGCAGGGTCTGATAAGACAGACCAGGAAGAAAAAGCCTGACAGCCTCCTTTGGAAATCTAGCTGGTGAAAAGCTCACGGATCAAACAGGACAGTGCCCGGCTTGCTGGCTTTGGTCACATCAAAGGGGAGATGATGCCCCGAGGAAGACATCATGCTCCCTGCAGTGAGGGTCAGTGAGGGTGGGGGGGACCCTCGATGAACCGGAAAGGCACAACAGCTACATGCGTGAATTCAAACGTGCCGGCAATCGGGGAGAATGTCCCAGGGGAGAACATTTGTTTTTCAAACTCACCGCCAATAAGTCAATGCAGAAGTATAGCTGCTCCATAGAGCAGTGGTTCTCAACCTGTGGGTCACGACCCCTTTGGGGGTCCAACGGCCATTTCACAGGGGTTGCCTAAGACCATCAGAAAACACATATTTCCGATGGCCTTAGGAACCGAGGCACCGCTCCTCATCTGTCTCTAGCAGGTCCGCCCACATGCAAATACACCCATCTACAAGCACTGGCCGTGAAGACTGTTACCCATGCTACACCATGCTTCAAGACAAAATTTCATGTATTTGTAATTAGAAATAAATAGTTCGCAATATAGAATGACATATTGTTTTTGTGACGGATTATGCTTTAACGATATTCCATTTGTAACCATGGAAATACATCCTGCCTATCACATATTTACATGACGATTCATAACAGTAGCATAATGACAGTGATGAAGTGGCAATGAAAATAATTTTATGGTTGGGGGTGGTCACCACACATGAGGAACTGTACGAAAGGGGCGCGCTACGAGGAAGGCTGAGAACCACTGCTCTAGAACAAGGTGCAGTTGCCCCTGTGAGTTTCCAAGACCAAAACTCTTTACAGGAGTAGAAAGCCCCATCTTTCTCCCTCAGATCAGCTGGTAGTTTTGAAAACTGACCTTGCGGTTAGCAGCCCAACGCATAACCACTATGCCACCAGGGATCCCCAGGGGAGAAAAGAGACACCAAATTCCAATCTAATACGTAGAGACCCATGTATTAAGTCTTAAACAGCACACAGACAACTCAGATGAGGGAGACCACCATCCAGAGGCCACGATGGGGTTCAAGCAGTCACAGAAACGCAGTCTCTTAAGTGGGACATGGAGTGCAAGGGATGCTGTCATGAAAGCAGGGTTCTCGTCCGGTCACCGCTGCAGGGACAACTGAAGCAAGAAGGGGTTGTTAGATCTCTCTGGAGCTAGATATACCTGGGTCCTTGGCTCCGCGCGAGAAAGAATTCACGCCGAAGCCAGGTTCGTGATCCAAGTGAGTTTTATGAGAGTTAGAAGAAGTTTCAGGTTTACACGGCACCCGTGGGGCTGCTCCCGAACATGCGGCCTGGCTGGAAGCTGCTCGGTGTCCTGCAAAAGTGTCCCAAAGTCCTGCCAAAGCTCTCTGCGCCTAAGTTCTCTCCCCTCTCGACTCCGGGCTTCTGCCTTTTCAAGGATTCCACGGGGAGGCGTGGTGGACGACCCCTGATCGACCCCATTGGCTGAATTGAATTCACCTGGCCTAGGTGGGCCACTTCAGGTTCACGCCCACCCATGCCTACCTCGGGAAACCTGAGCCTCTGGGCATGTGCAGTGCGCCACTCCTTTGTGCCCATCGCTTGGCCCTCTGGGCATGCGTTAACGGACATTCCCCAGCCCTACGCTAGCCTACCTAACAGGGTCTGTGAAAACAGGAATACGTACAAAATGGTTCAGGGCCCTCTGAGCCAGGCACGCGGGATAGAAATTGTGATCACGAGGAAGCTCACTCACTCATGCCCTGCCCTCAAGTGAATTCTGACTGAGAGCCACAGACTAGCACTGACCCTGTAGGTGTCCGAGACTGTAACTCTTGTTCTTTTTTCAATCATTTTATTGGGGGCTCCTACAACTCTTACCACAATCCATCCATCCATCCGTTGTGTCAAGCACATTTGCACGCTTGTTGCCATCATCATTCTCAAAACATTTTCTTTCTACTTGAGCCCTTGGTATCAGCTCCTCATTTCCCCCCCCCCTCCTTCCCGAACCCTTGATAATTTATAAATTATTATTATTTTGTCATGTCTTACACTGTCCGACGTCTCCCTTCACCCACTTTTCTGTTGTCCATCCCCTAGGGAGGGTTATAGGTAGATCCTTGTGATCCGTTCCCCCTTTCTACCCCACCTTCCCCTTCCCCTCCTGTTATCGCTTCTCTCATTATTGGTCCTGAGGGGGAGATGGGAATTCTTTATAAGAGTAAAGAGCCCTCGTTCTCCCTAGGAGCGGCTGGCAGTTTCAAACTGCCAAACTTCGAGTTAACAGCCCAATAAGTAAGCACTACGACCTCAAGGCTCCTCATGAGGAGCTTAGTACTTCCACCAAAAGTTCTTCATTCACGGCCAGCAGCGCCCCTCATGACTCATAGCAGCCCGGCAGCACAGGGTAGAACTTTCCCTGCTTCTTCTCCTCTGGAATCTGACCTGTGACTCCTGGAGTGATGCCTGCTGCTCTGGTGGGGCGTGGACTTCAGGCTCTGTGCACGGCAGATAGTCTCTTGGTGGACGGCTAAGACTCGGGCCAGACCTCCTGCTATTTCCTGTACCCCTTGTCCAGGACTTGCCGGGTGAGAACCACTGGCATCGAGAGTGCCCAATGGACGACTTGCTGTTGACCAGCACAGGGCTGCTCGGTGCCCGGCTGGCAGCCCCACGGCTGGATAACATTTGATGTGGAACTCTGCTGCCTGGAGACGGGCAGAGGCAAAGACCCTAAGGGAAGACGGCTTGAACAGGTCAGTTCAATAGGCTGAGTTGTATACCGTCTTCCTAGCTGTGCTCGAAGGATCGAGCCCCGGGGAAAGCCCATATATTTGGATTTTCACCAATGTATGGGCAATGGTCAGTGTCCTGCATACATGGACGGGAAAACATAATGGAAAAGGGGACTGTCAAGGGGATGCTCAGGTGACAAGGATTCCATCTTGCTGGGTCCATACGAAGGTGCACAGAAGCAGCAGTCAAGAGATCAAACGACACATTGCATTAGGCGAATCTGCCGCACAAGACCTCCCTAAAGTGAAAGTGCCCTTGACCGTCAAAAGGTCAAACAAGTCTGTCTTGGAAGAAGTACAAGCAGAATCGTCCTTAGAGGCCAGGATGGCGAGCCTTCGCTTCACATGCTGTGGACGTGTCAGGAGAGACCTGTCCCTGGACAAGGACATCCTGCTTGGCAAAGAGGAGGGCCCTGGAGGAGATGGATAGACACAGTGGCCCCATCTGTGGGCTCAAGCCTAACAAGTGTGGGTGTCGTAGTGACATCATCTGGTGTCAGTTTGGGCGGATTACAAGTGAAGCGGTGGAGTCTAGCCTGTCAATCATTTTATAGCCAATGAGGCCTCTGTGTGGGCATGGCCTTCCCCTGAGGATTCTGGGAGCGCCTATATTTCCTCC